TGCTCACGATTGAATACATAGGTTTAAGATCATAATAAGGGAGGAATTGTTTGGAAAAAAGAGGGGATTTTTTTTTTAAAAAGTTTATTTTTCAAAAGTTTTTAGATCGCTCCTTTTGTTTCTCTTTATTTTTTTTTTTTTTTTTGCTCACGATTGAATACATAGGTTTAAGATCATAATAAGGGATGAATTGTTTGGAAAATAGAGGGTATTCTTTGATCAAAAATATCGATCACGTTTTCATATAACGTTAACAAGATTGTTGGTCATTGGATTGATTTTTTAATTCTTCAGCATCGAGCGATCCATTGGTGACACGAACGATAATCATAGTATCAATGTGTCATCTGAAAAAAATTAGCTAACAACATTGAAAATAATTCAAGATCGTGAATAAATAACGATTAAGCGTAAACCTGGATCGTAAAAGCATCGAACGCTTGATTTTTAATTTTAGTTCCATTTGTTCTTCGAGGTTTGTCATATTCCATCGAATATATCATATTGATTGATCGGTGGAAGTATTTAAGAAAACACAATTATGAAGCATCGTGAACGGGGCATTTCAGGTGTAACCGGTTCAGGTGACAATCCATTTTCTCGATTTCCTCAAGAAGCAAGTCTTCCTTGACGTAACAAGCCTCCTGCTCGAATTCTTTTCTTAAGGAACACGCTTTCTTCTGTTCTTCCTTCTTTTTTACGTTCGATTTACAGTCGTACGTTTCCTCCAAAGCAGTTAGTATGCGCATATGGTTCAGTTTTCGCATACTCTTCTCATATTCATCGTAAGGCTCGCCTAAATTTACCACACGGCCAATGGAATATCGAACTTAAATTTAATATTTCCTTTCAATTTATTACTTCTGTATAGTGGCATCGCTTCCGCCTCCAGCCTTTTTTGGATTTCACGAATCTCCTTCTCGCATTTCTCGTAATAGGTGCCTCGTAGAATAAACGATGGTTTCTCATCGATCTGACATTTCTGACACTTCTCCTTTGATCTCAATTTTTTATTTCGTACATAATGTTTATACTGCAAACATTTCAGCATCGCCTCGATAAAAGTGAACTTGGTATTGTCAATTTTCGTGAGCACGCCTGGCCGGCACGCAGTTCTCAACAAATGGTGAAGCTGTAACACGAAACGGAACGGGACAACGAAATTTGATTTACAATCAAGTAATTTTAATCGTTTCAAACTTACCTTGAACAGAATGAAAAGTATCCATTGCATCGACTCTTCTTCCATTATTTTTTGAACGTTTTCGATCTCCTTGTTTCTGAATCTAAACGATAAAATATTTCCAATTTTAATATTTCATTTCTCTTATATTTTTAGCGTAACGTAAAATTTATCACAAATAATCTTTGAACGATTTAAAAATGATTAATCAAAATCATCTTCAAATATATTTATTTCAACGATTCCCTTTTTTCTTTATTAAATTAAAAAAAAAGAAATACGTGGATATAAAATGAAATAATATGAAATAATATGAATAAGGAACAGGAATAGGATTTTTATTAAATAAAGAAACCTCTTCATGTTGTTCACAGTTTCCTCGTTCTTTTCGTATACTTCGTTCAACCAACGATGCATCTTTTTAATGTTGAGCACAGTTTTCCTCAGCCAATAACCGCGCCAAAACGCTTGAATCTTGATCGCCATCTTGTTGTAATATTCCTGCCACATTTGATGAACACTTTGAATCATGTATTGCTCGAAAATGATCCTGGCACAATAGCCCCGCCAATGACGTTGAATGATGATAGCGCTCTCGTGCAGCAATCGAAGATGATTTCTAGTGAGAATACCGCGGATCCAGGCCTGCACTGCCCACCCAAAATCCAATTGAACCGAATTGTAACATCGGAAGAACGATATCCTAATTTCAATCGAATAAAGAAATAGAGAATTCCCGCTTAAAGGGAAAAATTTTTTCAGAGAATCATAATTCATATATATATATATTTCTTCGATATTTTATTACACACAAACTCTACAATGTTTCAAGACATTCGAAATAATTCTATTTTTCTATTTTCTATTGTAAATCGAAAAAGAATATATATATATTTATACACCTAGATTTTTCCAATAATCAATTAATAGTTCAGTATAACAGAGAGATAACGTGCAAATTAAAAATAATCCATATTTTCTCTCTGTTTATTAAAGTATATAATATATATTATTATATATAATATATATATAATATATATATATTAAAATCACGAAATGTATCCTCAGGTGAGAATCTTGCAAAGTGTATCAAGTGCAACGATACAAAAAGCGAAAAACAACAACGGAGGAGTCATGGATGACTCGTAGGATCGATGTGTCGTGATCTTGACCTTAAATAATCGATATCTCACGGACTTATGGTTACAACACTGGAAGCTTTATTATTAGCGAGGCTCGTCGTTCAGATAAGAACGATAAACTCGGGCAGAAATTGTCGTTATCGTAGGCTGGGGGTTATCTTATTCGCACGTTCTCAGGGATCTGAAAGGATCCCTGGAAAAAATTTTTTCTAGGAATTCCAGGTTATCTCGAACAAGCCTCATTAACCTGTATCCTTCGTGCAGCGATGAAATACAAATATCTGGTCGCTTCTGCCATACATTCTTTTCGTCTGATGTCGTCTTCGAATTGAACGAAATCTACCATTAATTCTTTCACCGATGCCATTTTCGATGACTTTCGTTTCGACGAGATTCGGATGTCGGATGTGGGAAATTATTATTGTAATGGAGGAACCTAATGTCGTTTGTAATTGTACGACATGTGACTGTGAACTTTGCTGCGAATTTCAATTTATTTATTTTTTTTAATTAATGACAATACTTCATGGAAAAGATTTTTAAAATAAAATAAAATTGACGAAAATGTGTCCGTCATTCGAGATTGAATCTTCGTCGTGTATTTGTATTGATATGGATTACTGAATTCGATAATTCTATGCGACAGTTGTTCAATCAAGAAGAAATATGTATGTACGCAGAAAGTTAGAAAACGATATATTTTTCTGGCTAATAAATTATTTATTTTCTCGTATATCTCAGAAAATCTTATGCGTAACGTTTATAACAATTTTTCAGAGAATCCCTACGTAGAGTAGAAACACGAAGAGGGTCGTGGAGAGAAACATAAACGTCACCGTCATCGTCGCCATAATGGCGTTCTTCCTCTTCTTGTTCGTTCTTGCCAATACGTGAAAATCCTTTGACTGTACAGAGTAAGAAAAATGGAGAAAAATTCTTAGCAATGTATCAAAATCTAATTTTCAGATTCGGTTTCAAAAACTTTAACCCAAGCATTATTTACGCAAATTACTCCTCGTTTATTTCGATTAAAACTTCGAAAGTTTCGAGTTTTCATAAAAACAACAACAACAAAAATGTTAAGAAAACTCGAAACTTTTCTAAATTGAATTTCGAAAATTGTTCAATTGTCGTTAATCTTTTTTCTGCAAGACAGATTGAAGAATGTGGATAGAGAGGGAAAGTAATTCGAAAGGGATTTTTAATTATATAAAAATACAGGTTGACAAGTTTAGAAGCGTGAAGGATCGTGGTTAATCGAGGTTCGATACAGAGGCAATTAATATTCGTATCGTTTCAACGCGTATAAATATAAAAAAAGCGTAATCTCGACACGCATTACCCTCGGGGAAATAAATCGATTCGCGGGGTCGTACTCGTGGATGCGTTATTGATCGATGGGGTCGTTTCAATGAATATTTTTCACGGTGCCGATCTAATTATGCACCTTCGTTACACGATTTATTTATACAACATCGATCAAATTGATATTTGATATCGCAACCTGATTTACCATAATTTGCAAGCTCTGAGTCTTTCGAACGAGTTCGTCGAGCCTCTCGCCTCTATCGATCAATTTCTGAACCCCGTCCATCAATGTTTCACGAATTTCCGCCAGTTCTCCTTCCAATCTTGGTATCACGTCGGTATTATGTTGATTGTATTCATCCTGAAACGTGTAATTCAGCGTTTTTTTTATTTTGTCAAACGGAATGTCTTAAATTCAACATACCACTATCTTTTTCAGAGGTTTCGAGAGATCGATGATAGTCAAACTGGTTAGATCTCTCGTCAGATCGGCCAGGATAGGAAGCTCCTTGTAAATGCTTCTCAACCTCTCCAGAAATACTTGGGAACAGCATTCCAGCTTGGCTGCTGACGAAGGGCAATCCGGTTTCAGGGTCAGGCAAGCGTAGTGAAGTTCACCGATGAGCACGTGTACCGTGTACCTGTGGAGAAATGATATTTTCCAAGATTTCAGGAACCGTTATCAAGGAACGATTTTTATGAATTGTTATTCGCGAGAGATGAAGCAAGAGGAAAGTAGATTTGTCCATTTGTAATGATTTTATGGAATTAAAAAAAAAAAGAAAGCACTCATGAAATTATTATCTTAACTTGATTAACACTAACTATATTTTTTAATTTTTTATTTTCCAGGGAAACTTTAATCCATACAAATTTTACAATCGCGTGTAAAACTCAAAACTCGTTAACGATAAGAAATTTAATTAATTATTCACATTAACCACATAAAAAGATCGCAATGTACAAGAATCTATTCAACGAGCACGATAAATTCAAAAATACATTCACCCGTGCGCAAATATTCTTTGCACTCTTTATCGTGCAACATTATATTTGAAATTTTTTTTTCTCGCCACTGATTATCTCCGAGAGTCAACGTAATTAAACACATCCGAAGTTTCCACTCGAACAATAATAATTCTTTCATTCGAGCATTCATATAATAAAATTCCCTATTTCGAACGAAATATTCAAAAAACGAAATTCTTGAAAAATCGTGCGATTCAAATTATCGCGCTTACTTGCCCCGATCGAAGCTGATCTTGTCGTTCTCCACCGACTTTAGTCCATCGACCGTGCTCAAAGCGATCTCCCTGTAAGCTGGATCCTGTTTCGCCGGGTAATCGGCCACGATCTTGCACCCCGATTTCTCCCAAAACGCCACCAACGCGTAATGCACCGTTCTATTCATCCTCCTTTCCCCCGACACCTTATTCTCGGAATCAGAATAAAAATATTTCCAATATTCGAAGCATCAATTACCAGCGAAAATGGTATGGCGAAGGAACGAAACTCGACTCCTTTCTTCTTTTTCCCTTTTTCCTTTCACCTCGATCGATCCACTCCAATTGTTCGAGATGATTGATGCTTCCAAAAAATCGACGCTCGTCGACTTTGGTGGACGCAAGACGGTGCACTCGCGTCGATGAACACGGAGGATCATTCGCGGACCGATTCACTGGAACGTCTGCGTCGGCTATCGGTGATGGCTCCTCCTCTCTCTCTCTCTCTCTTTCTCTGCTTGTTTACCAGGTCGGTTTGTATCGGCAATGAAAGAAATTTCGATAATGGCCGATAACGAAGTCGCCTCGTAAGGAGAATGACTTCTTTCTTTCTTCTGCGATTAGATACGACACGCCTATATTTTCGTTCGTAGCAACGAAGGGGAAGTTCGTTGTAAAGAGGTTTAGATGCACGGAGGTCGATTAATCCCTGATTTTGATGATTGATTTTATTGATTTTATTTGTATTTAATGTCAATTCACTTTTTATTCTTGGAATATTCGTGTTACAAGAAAATATGACAAATTCATCAAGTACAATGTATCGACAAAATTATCGAAACGAAGTAAATTGGAATAGAAAGCTTTTTAATATATTCTTTAAATGGTATATTTTCAATGATTACTTATTTAATTGGAAAAATAACATTTTAGAAGTAGATTACAAAAATACGTTTAAAGAGGAAAGGAATTAAAATTTGGAGCCCTCGTAACGCATTAAAAAATTAATTTTACCATCGTTTGGAAATTAAAATTTGGAAGATTATAAGGTAAATTTCTTTGAAAAATAATAATAATTTTGACTTTTTTTTTTAATTCGGTACTATTATATACTATTATATAATTTTACGTTTTTTCTGAAAAAAATCTCTGTAAACTATTATTTGTTTAAAGCAAATATTTTTAGCCACACAGAGAATTATTCGTGACTACGAGTAGACATAAAAAGTTAAACGAGTTTTAAATTCTGCATGACGAAATGATTACGAGTATATTTATAACGAATTGCGAATAGTGTTATATAAATTGTTTATATATCTACATTAAATGCATGGAAGATAGAAAAAAAAAAGATTAATCGATTTTTTTTCTCGCGAAAATTAATTAAAATTAATCTAAACTTGGAAAATAGATAGAAGGCATTATCTTGTTTACGAATTTATACTAGAACGTATTGTTAATCAAATTGTTGAAATTATTAGAGAAAAGATATCTGCTTCGTATCTTTTAACCGATCGAGGAATATCAATCCATCAATTGATGGATCACATTGGATAAATAGATTCCAAAATATATTTGACATAGAAAGGGAAGAAAAAGAAATTAATTGAATCCACGAGAGAGCAGCCATTGCTCGATCATTTGCATATTGGAATCCATCCAATCGATATTGTTTTCTATATCTTCGATAGTGTTTCTCTTCATGCTCATGGTTATTTTTAAATCATTTTTTTTCAAAAAGAATCTTCTTGCCTATAGAAATAATAATTTTTCTTTTTGATTCAGTTTAAAAAAGGATCGAAAATTGTTTAATTCATACAATTGTACAAATTATTCTTTACTTAAATTTTCAGAATTTCGAATTTTTCAATTATATATATTTTTTATCTCGAATATCAAAGATTTTCGAGATATAAACTTAGTTTTAACAAATTTTATATATACTTTCACAAAAATGATCTTACCTCCTCTAACTTTTGACGATCCTTGAACAAAGATAAGATTCCACAAGTAAGTTTTCCTAGAATGTAGTCGTTCGTTTTGTATTTTGCGCGTAGCTTTACCCAGTTTTCTCTACGAGAAAATTTAATATAATTTGTTGATCCACTGATTTAAACAATGCAAATTTAACAAAAGTTCTTCTCCATCCGAAAAAATTCATCAGTTACTTTACGAAATTCCAGGCGACGTCCAACCCCACGGGATTCAAGGCAATCTTCATCAGCAACGTGGCAAAATCTTGCTTACGAATGAATTCCTCGTCCAATGCTTGCGTGAGATATCTAAAATCGAAGAGAAAAATCGAAGAATTTATCATTTCTTTTGAAACTAAGAAAAATATTAATTCGGAAATCAATCGATTTGAAAATTTTAAACAAAAAAAGGGAAAATCACGAATCACAAAAACGATTGACGATCCAAAGATTTCGTAACGCTCCTTCGACTCCGTCTGTATTCGCACATTCGACTATAAATTTATATTCGAGAAGCGCCATAAATCTGATGCGGCTTCGACAAATTGGACAGCGACAAAATAACAGAGAAACCTCGAATCGTCGAAGAAGAGTTGTTGGCAATTAGTTTGCGAATGAATCGCTGCCTGACGAACCGTTTAAGAATATCTTTGTCCAGAACTCCAGTCAATCCGATCATCATACGTTCCTTTTCCTGTACGTCTTGCTCCATCTTCAATCGTTGCGACATATTCTTGTATATCGATCCAACATCGCGCGTAAACAGGCCTAAACAATTCTTTGTTATTATTATTATTATATACAAAACAAGAAAAAGAAAAAATATTTTGCCAAGTTATCCTCTCTCACCGTACGAATACACGATAGATCGAATATCGACTGGCAACGGTTCGTGCTTCACGTTCTGTAGAAAATTCTTCAACCATTTTCCGGCTTTCTCGAGGCAGTCCTCGTGGCCCACGCTGCAAGCTGCGTTCAATATCAATACACGAAATTCTCTTGAAACGAACGGAAACAAGACAAGATTTTCTTAATGGATGGCTTTTCGTAAAAGTATGTAAGAAGAGGAAGTATGTGACAAAGGTTGTCTGAAAAAGTTCTTTTTGGATTTTTAGTATACGGATATTCTGTTCTTTTCTTTTTTTGTGATTTTATTATTCTATAATGAAGAAAAAGTGATAATGTTTCTAATAAAATCAATATTAATGATTGGCGATTTTATAATGGAATTCAATTTGTAAGAAGTTTGAGTTGTTAAATATAATAATGTTTTACAAATCATCAAGCAAATAATAAAAGAACTTTTGGATGGACAAGTTTTTTAATAAAAAATAAAATAATTCTTTTATTATTGTTTTGAGATCGATGTACGAAAAGAATTCATGAAATTGAATAGTATTAAAGAGATATTTATAAATTTCTCTTACGAAAGATAATTACGTACGTAGATAACAAAAATGAAAAAATCTCTTCTCGTTCTCAAATAATTAAAAGATTTCCTGTTATCACGCAAATTTAAACTAACCTTTCTTTAAAGGAATCCTTTAAATGAAAATTCCATTTGATTTTGCGATAAATATTGTCGATTAGATTCTTCGCGTATGACTAAGAAATTTATAACAGAAAAATATAATAATTGTTACGATTGTAACTTTATTTCTATATATATATTTTTTCTCCACATTACTTGGAAACGTTTAAGCAGGGGTGTCCCTGCAAGCAATCTGTTCATTTGGTTGAACCATTCCACAGTAACGACCCATGGTTGATAAGCGTTTTCCTTCACTAGATAAGAAGTTAGGTTCATGACTATAAAGTAATTCAAATCAGTTTCCGCTAAAAGAAAAGCATCGTGCAACAAATCCGCCCTGTTTATGGCGTTCAAAGCCTGAAATCGTTTCAACGTGAAATCAAAAGCTGACAATTACGAAAAAACTCTTAGAATTATACAAAGTAATTGTGACGCATACTAAATGATTGTCTGATAATAATTTGCTGAACGTATTCCAGGCATCTTCCGTGTAATTCACAATGTAATAACCGATCGAATTGTGATTCATTTTGATCCAATCCACCGATCTTCCCAGCGATAATTCCACTGCAATTTGGAGTGTAATGTTAAAAAATTGGGGATGAAAATTTGTGTGCTATTATTACCGCAAGAATAATTAGCGAGAAACCAATCCAACTTGATTTTATCTTTTTGTCTGCTCGTCACGTATTTAATGGGAATGGTCCAGCCTGTACTAAACAAAAATGAAATTTCGAAAAATTTCACGAATATTTTACTCCTTCTCATAATTTTTTTCTGATCAGATCTTGAAACTCTCGAAACATTGAACGATTTGTTTTTTTCTTTCTCTATTCGTCTCTGAGATTCTTTCAATTCACTCAAAATTTTAATCTATGAAATATATACTTTTCATTCTCCGAGCATTCGATTTTCGAATAAAAAAAAGTTTCGAACGTCTCATCTCTAATTTTTCTTATCTTATTTTTTTACTTTTTACTATATTTTCCTTTAACGTCACTTTAATATTTTTTTTTTTTTTTGACTCTTCATCTTTTTCCCTTTCAAGATCATTATTCATTTTTTATACGTACTCGATCGTTTCATTGAGTCGTCTGCTCGTCACGAAGCGTCGTCGAAGCAGTTGAAAATCCGCTTTGTTTCGGCGGACGTTGACCACCGGAAATCCGGGGAATCTCATCCATCGAGAGACGAAATCTACGATATCGATGGTGGGATGCGTATTGTTCGCCAGGATATCGAAGAATTCTCGAGAATCCACATTACGAAACTGATAGGTTTTCAGATACTTTCCGACAACAGAGAACAAGCTGGCATTGCCAATAGCGTCCTCGAGCATCCTAATCACCGACGCAGCCTACCATTCAACCAACCACAATTGCTGTACTTTCTTTGTCTTCCCTCCGTGCCACTCTTTGACATTAATTTCATCATCAAATTCAATCTCTCCAAATAATCTACTTCTTCTTGCAAGAATTTTCATTCTCTACGAACGGTTTTCTCAACGTACCTTTTGATAAGTCACCGGATCGAATAACTCTTCTATCTCCTCTGGATCCTCGATCCGTTTCACGATAGGGCGAGCACGCAGTTTCACATCGTGTTTCATAGAGACGTATTTAGTGTATAACGGGAAGGAATCCATCTGATGAGAAAGAAGATAGATTTAAAATTATGGATACGTGAAATTTATTTTAATCAACGATACTAGAAGAACTAGATCTATTCAAGGGATGAATGTTGACCAGATTCCAGTCGGGGAACAAAGAATTAATGGCCAGATGCTCCATGTAAGTGGCGAATCCTTCGTTCAACCAAAGATCGTCCCACCATTTCATGGTGACCAGATTGCCGAACCACATATGGGCCAATTCGTGAGCGATCGTCAAGCTTACGCTTCTCGTATTGATGCAAGAGCTGTTTTCGCTGTGAAGCAGCTCTGTTTCACGGAACGTGA